TGATCTTTAGTTTACAATTAATATGAGCCATTTTTAACTCTAATTACACATACTTATAATTTTGTAATAAATAAAAAGGGTATTTACCCACATATTATTAACTAATACACCTTTACTTGTAATGTAAAAGATGTATTAGTGAATACATACCACTCAATTCCTATGTAGTTACGATTCTAACACCTAACTTTTACTTTTACTTTAACACCACCCAACTTTCATAATACATCAAAATTATAAACATTTTATTTTTTTAATAGGAAAATATATGTTTTCATGCATAAATAATGTGGCACATATGTAAAAATTGAAATGTAGATGTTAAATATGTAAATATATAAAAACTGAGTGGTATGTATGTGAATATTTTTAAATAAATGGGATATGCATAGATACCATATAATTTTCTTACATTTACATCTCTGACTTCTAAATTTTCATATTGTTCTAATTTGTCCATGAATCACCCAATGAATATAACGTATGATTAGAGGGAGGGAGAGAAAAACAAAAAGAAATGACTAATAATTTGGAAGGAGAGTGCAACCTTTTACTCATGAAATAAACTCATATTTATGAAGAAAAGAGGTATCGTATGTGAATTTACAAAGGTGCCCCCCTGCTTTATCGGGGATCGAACAAGTTATTATATGTATTATACATGTATGGGGCATGGTGACCCTTGGCTTGGCTGGGCAGACTAACATGTCCTTTAAAATGTGTTGTCGTTCATTGAAGCAAGAAAGACCCATCAGTCGGCTTGGTCTGGTGATTGTCAGCCGATCATCGATTGATTGGATTCTTTCTAGTGAAAGGCAGGTGGGATTGTCTCGGCCGACTAAGTGGGGTGATCAGATTTGCCCATCGACCCTCGATCTCTAACAAGGAGCTCCTGCCAGTTGGATGGAGTTAGGCAATCAGGGTGATGATGCATCATTGTAATCTAATAGGTATCCAACCTTTAAAGAAGAGATCTTAGTGGATGATTGAGGTTCGCATTACTGACTACTGATGGTGTTCAGGGAGACTCCTAAAATTCTGAAAGGGAATTGTGGGACCCAAGAAGTCAGAATTGTTAGCATTTCCCAAATGGGTTAGTTCCATGGCAGGGATTCCTGTAGACCCTCCCGTAATTGGTGAATTGTCAAACTGTTAAGATTTAGGTCATTCTACTGCATTGTTTAATCATCATCTCGATAATTCCCATCAGACTCATGAGCTCTCGAGCCTCCTATTGGCGGACCTTCCTCTGACACATCTTGTCCTACTTGTGTCGGTACTTTTTCCGTGCACATATTTTTATATATATGACATTCAACAATTTAATATTATATCAGAGTTATCATTATTTCAAAAGTTTTATACCTTTTTATGCATAAAATTTCATGTTAGTTTGACATTAAAACATCTTAAAACATAAATATTAAAATTTAAATATTTCACATATAAATATATAAAAAAGAGCTGATATGCATGCGAACTTTCTAAAATTAGTGCGGCGTGTTTTGAAAACGTGTATGGGGGCATTTGTTTAGCACGTGCGGGAGCTTATCCTATCAATTAGTAAAGCTATTCTATCGACCAGCGTTAGTTACCCGCTGCCCACGATCCGCGCCCCCTCTGTCTCTCTCTCTCATCTCATCCCTCTGTCTCTCTCTCTCGTCTCATCCGCCCTAAGATCAATCCTTCGAGTCGCATTTGAAGTCACACAATCAAACAAAATTTAAAGGAGTGTGTCAATATGCAACAAAATAGGATTCCATCCTCAATAATAGAAGGGAAGATAAAGTCAATAAAAACAAAAAAGAGCCAACTCATCCTAAAAATTATTACATGCTAATTGATTCCGTAAATTTCTAAATGTAAGATTTTTTTATAAGAACTTCCGCAGAAAATTCATAGAGGGTTGGTTTGTAAATAACAAGTTTTGCGTGGTCTGCGTGTAATTTCCCTAAAAAAAAAGAAATATTTAAATACCATACCAAATATTTACATTACATATCTAATACTTACATTTATTATTATTTGTAAAATAACCAATTCATTGCTAAAATTGTAATATGTTGATTTTAAATGTAATATTTTTTTTACAAAAATTCCACAGAAATTTACACATTAAAAAAAAAAAATTTGATAAATTTACATATATACCACATAATTCTCATGTATTTACATATCTAATACTTAAAATTTGATATTTACATTTAATATTAAATAATATTTTTATTAAATCCCTAAATTTTTTAATGTTATATTTTCTTATAAAAACTTTCATAAAAAATTCACACAAAAAAAGAAGGAAAAATTTTAAAAAAATTATCATGTCAGGACTCCTAACGTAGAGAACCATTCGGAGCCCAACGAAATCACGTCACGTAGCGATGACAGAAAAAAAATAAAATATGCTCATCACACAAAAAAAGAAGGAAAAATTTTAGAAAAATTATTATGTCGGACTCCTAACGTAGAGAACCATTCAGAGCCCAACGAAATTACGCCACGTAGCGATGACAGAAAAAAAATAAAATATGCTCGATAACACAAAGAAATATTCCTCTCGTGTTATTCATATGTTATTGTATGTTATTCAGATATTATTGTTGTTATTTTGTCATTATAAAACCAGAAATATTGTTATAATACAATAACACCTGAATAATACGAAATAACATGGGAGAATATTCCCGTGTTACCGGGCTGATTTTTACTTTTTTTTCTGTCACCGCCACGTGGCGTGATTTCATTTGTCATTTTAAAACCAGAAATACTGTTATAATACAATAACACCTGAATAATATGGAATAACATGGGAGGATATTCCCGTGTTACCGGACTGATTTTTATTTTTTTTTCTGTCACCGCCACGTGGCGTGATTTCATTGGACTCTGAAATGTTTCTCTACGTCAAAAGTCCTCACAAAAATTACATACATACCATAACAAAAGACAAATTGATATTTCAAGAGGGGCAAAACTAATATTTTAGAAGGGGGCAAAATATCAAATTGCATTTCAATATAAATAAAAATTTGAATTTGAGGGGGATAAAATCCCTAAATTTTTAAATTTAATATTTTCTAATAAAAATTCCACAAAAATGCAAATATAAAAAAACAAAAAAAGTAATCCTTACCACATAATTCTTATTTATTTACATATCCAATACTTAAATTTTGATATTTACATTTAATATTTTTAAAAGAACCAACTCATCCCTAAAATTTTAAATGTAATAGTTTATTATAAAGCATTCTAAAGAAAATTCACACACTAAAATAAGAGAAATTTACATACTTACCACGTAAATCTTATGTATTTACACATCTAACACTTAAAATTTAATATTTATATTTATGATATTTTATTGTCAGATTTATGCATGAAAAATTATTTTCTTTAATTTTAAAAAATAATAATGATGATATTTTGATGTAATAATGAATTAATTATTGTACATAAGAGTTTGATGGCTAGATATGTAAATAGATAAGAGTTGGGTGCTATTTGTGCATTCACACGTGCCAAAAAATAAATTTCGCACGTGGAGAATGTTTTTTTTTTGTAAATAACAATTTTCTCACGTGTTCTCCGTGTAATTGTTGCAAAAAAATAATTACATTAAATAGATAGGACTTAAATGTAATATTTATGAAACGAGGATAAAATCCACTTGACAGTCTCTAGCTTGCATCTTTCCGGCCGCTAAACTCTGAAAGCTGCATGGCGTCGCCGGAATCCTTGGCTTCCCGCTGGCCATATGGCGTACCATTACTCTTGATCTTCTTCGTTGCAGCTTCTTTCTACCTCTCCGTAGCTGAATATATCGCCTACAACACCACCGCCGGGATTGTCACCGGAAAGCTCAACGTTCACCTCGTTCCCCACTCTCACGACGACGTTGGCTGGCTGAAGACCGTCGACCAGTATTACGTTGGGTCTAATAACTCCATCCAGGGCGCATGCGTGCGCAACGTTTTGGATTCAGTTGTTTCCGCTCTTCTGGAGGATAAGAACAGGAGGTTTATCTATGTTGAGCAAGTAGTCTTTCATTGCTAGGGTTCTGAGTCTTTTCTTTTGATTTGGGATGGAACTGAAGAACCATTGCTAGGGGTTTTAGGGTAGTCGATTGACGATAGATGGTGATTTCAGGCGTTCTTCCAGCGTTGGTGGAGGCAACAGAGTAATGCCGTTAAGAAAATAGTAAAGAGACTGATTAGCTCGGGACGATTAGAGTTAATGTACTTCACTCTGCTTTTTTTAGCAGCTGTTTATGGATAACTTTTTCGTAAATCGCATGCGATCGATTTTAGTTTTGTATTTGGTTGCTTATTTTTTTAACGATTTGTTCAAAATTTTGATCGAAGAAATGGGGGAATGTGTATGCATGATGAGGCGGCTCCGCATTATATTGACATGATTGATCAGACAACCCTCGGCCATCGCTTCATCAAGAAGGAGTTTGGGCGGACGCCGAGGATTGGTTGGCAGATTGATCCGTTTGGACATTCGGCTGTACAGGCTTATTTGCTCTCTGCAGAGGTAAACCAATGCATATAGTTGCCTTCTGGCTCTTTTGACTTATTACTCTGGGAAGAAAAGTATTTATTCAGTACTTTATGATGGATTTCTCTTCATGATAGTCATACTTTATTATCTAGTCAATTATACTGGTCCTTTAAAAGGGCTCCACTTGTCAATCGGATTGCTTTTTTTCATCCCAGTGTTCTTGTTATATAGACAAATGCTTGATATAATACATGGCTGCATTAAAACGATGACATAATCAAACATGGCAAAATGAGAATCTTGACAACTGCAGTTCTAGATACAAAAAATTACATTAATATGGCATAATTACGGGAAATATGCAGCATCAAATTGATACCCATTTTACAGGGATCTTAGAGTTATAATATAAAACATAGGCAAAATGTGCTATCATAAATCGTACTATTACCTCCTCCTTAAATGGATGGTATGATCAAGAAACACCAATTCACTCACGAGAAACTGATGATGTTGATATGTTGCACAGATGCCTACAACTAAATGTTGTTGGAAATATGAGGAAAGGAAATCGTATGAGCGTTGAATGCTTCTAGAATCGAATGGTAGTTTGCTTTGATATATTTTTTGTTCTCATAATAAATATAGTTAGCTGTAATTTGAATAGCATTGTTATTGCCCTTATTGGGGGAGGTGGGATTATATTGAGAAAAATCAAGTTCAACCAGAGTCCATGAAGCTAGATTAGGGTATCAATTTGGGTTCGTTGGGCAGATTTAAGTATGAATTGAAATTGATTTGACCCGAAACTGCTTGATCCTAACTCGCCCTGAATATTAAATGGGCAAAAAGTCTAGTTTGAACACGACTCGCTTTCAAATTGATTGAATTGGATCTGGGACCCCATATAACCCGTTTAATATATGCATAATAGTTATTTGAGTTCATTTTGATCAAGTTCGGGTTGGTGGGTCAACTTGACAACTCGAAGCTAACTAAAAAATTTACATGTTGGAAGGACCCAACTTCGACTTGAAATTAAATGGGTTGATTTTGGACTCGAATGTTTTGAGTTTGGTTTGTTGCCACGTTGGGTCAAATTTTGACACCTCTGAGCGAGATAATCTCAAGATAAATTGCCTAATTGAATGATTTTCCCTTTTGCTGGGCTATGCCACCCTAATTTTTTGGCGCTAGGTCAATGTTTATCTCTTTTGGGTAGTGATAATCACTGACCCATTTAATGATGTTTCTGTCTTGTAATTTCCAGATCTTTCTAGCTACAAAATTTCTATAGAATATTGTCATACGATCCCAAGTAGTGACATGGAACCAACACTGGTTAATCCAACTCAAGTTTTGTTGGCGATGTGTGCTCCGACTTGGCTCAATTCCATAGATATGTGAGTGGGCCATGGGTAATAATAATTCAGGCTCTCTATTTATTCAGAGTTGGGTACTTACTGATAGATATGACGAGTACTCCCGCTGGTCATCACCATCAATTGATTAACGTTGAGCCTCCACACTGGCAATTGGTGGTACAAGTTGAGTTGCTTATGGTGTCAATCACACCGCTTGCTGGATAACCTTAACTGCTTATATAATTTGCGTTGCAAAACTGAATTATAATGTTTGGGTGATATTCTATGTCACCACCTTCACGAGAGTAATCATGTTAAGATTTGGTGCTCCAGTAGTCTCGGTGGGTTGAGTAGGATTAACACGACAATTATTAGGGGAGCTAAGACACACATGGACAGGGACTGCTTCTATAGTGGCTCTCAGAACACCCATTGCACGAGCGGTTGCAACACCTCTTTTCTTTGGAGCCATTCTAAACAATTGAAATTTACACAAAATCGAACTTCACTAGATAACTAACTAATTAGAGTCATCTATTCCCCACCCAATCCTTAGAAGATAAGAGATATGAAACGCAATGATAAGGAATGTTGATTACAAAAAAATAGACTTTGGTATCACCTTGTCACACCCAGGGTCCGGAAGACGACATACATCAATAAAGAAGGGCATGATGAAAAAAATTGAATATGTTTTGTATTCTCAAAAGAAAAATTACATGCATGTAATAACGTAAGAAAAAATGAAAGATAGATTTTATTCCATAAATAAGAGTAACTGGTACAAACGAAATAAAAGTTGAACCGAGTGAAGCAAAAACTATCATGACAACTACTAAAAAGGAATCTAAAGCTAAAATGCTGATCCTATGAGGCCGATTGTACAAGTGGTTGAATATAATATGTTATGCAAAAATATGAACGAGAGAGTTTGATATCTCAAACTTAGTAAATAATAACTATTTATTGAGGCATAAACGGTAAGACACTGAGACATGCAATATGAAAAATAAAAAAAGAGACAATTTACTATATGCATAAAAAAATATATTTTTCCGTGCCGTTAAACGGGGGTTGACGCTTAGAGGTTATCAAAATTTTAGGTGATTTGGACTTGCAAACCACTTTAAGCTTGAATTTTCAAATTTATGAAATAATAATTTGAATTTTAAAATAAGTTAAAAAGTTTAAGATTTTAAAATTTTTAGGTTCCTTAAGCTAAGACATATTTAAATTTTTAGGCTCTTAGGGTTTTTAAAGATAATATCAATTTTTGGGCTTTTTAAACTTAAAATTTGAAAGTTTAAAACCAAAGTAAATGTGAAATTTTTAGTTTAAGTCTCAATAATTTAATTAATTCAAAATTGAGCTTTCAAAATTAAGAGCTTGGGATTTACAATTAATCTAAAAAAATTAAAATTTTTAAATATATTTGCTCAGGTTTGAATCATTTGAATTGACCCAAATATTAAATATTTACACTTAAAAAAAATTTATTACATTTGTGATTTAACCTAATTTACAATCGAAGTACCAAAATTCAGAAGACTAAGCATAAATTGAAACTTAAAATAACCCAAATTGTGATACTAAGTGTTGTGAGATATACACCAGTTGATGTGGTATATATATAAATCAAACAGGAGAATGATCAACAAAACGAAAAATTAGAACGAAAATATTCACACTAAAAAACAGTAACACAGCGGAACACACAGATTTATGTGGTTCGACAGATTGCCTACGTTTACAGAGTTTTAGAGGATTTTACTACTTGAGGAATTTACACCAGTCGATCGTCTCGATTTAAAAGATGAATCTATCACTTCGTTGCTCTCTTTTCTTCTCTCTCTATTCTTCTCTCTCTACTCCAAGATACACCGAAGAATTTCTACTCCGAGATACACCGAAGAAGATAAACTTACAAGAGAAATAAACCCAATTTCTCTTATGCCACAAACCATCAAGAATAAGCCAAGGGAGAACAATCTTCATCTTATTTCTTCTTCCTGCTGCCGCAAGGAACTACTGCTTGCACTTGCACTTTCCTTCCTCTATCTTGGGAAGCTTGAAGAAGAATATTAAAAAACGTGACTTCTCTAACTGAAGGAGAACCTACTCTCTTCTTTTTCTTCCTCTTCTGTTTGCAACTTAAAAGAGGTGAGGGGCAGCCTCGTTTCACGAATCGTAGGCGGGAGCAGTTCGCGTAACCGTAAGATCGCGGTCACGATCTTTTGCGATCTGAAGAGCGGGAGCGGGAAGCACCGATTCACAATCGGGAGAGTGAGAACGAGAGGGGGTCCAAACCGGCTCCACACTAACAAATCTTCCACTTGGAGACCGGTACACCAGCTACGTCTTCTTAATTGTACTGATATCCTTACTGGCGGTGTCACTATTTTCTTCAAACATGAATCCTTCACCTCTGCAACTCAAAGCCTCTGTCTTCACTCAAGAAGATCAACTGAAAAGAAGATCAACTGAAGCTGTGCACAACTTTAGTTTCTCAAGAGTAACACCCTCAGTCAACATATCAGCAGACTCCACATATGGTCCATGTAACTTGGCCCCTCAAAGCTATTTCCTGGATTACTCTTATCTTTGCTTACAACTCCCACTGCATGGGCAATATTCTGCCTCTGCTGATTTTCCAAAAAGTCTAGCCTTATAGCTTTTACTGCCATTACACTTAGTCTTCACCTGATACACCCATTTGTTGTGTAATGCCTTCTTCCTTGGTGGAAGTTTTGCAGCTCTCACTTGCTCGAACTTTTATTTTGCAAGATTTCTTCATAGCCTTATGTTCTCTACCATCTGTTTGTGGAATAATAGGAATGGATGCCCCCTGGGACCCACTCTCCTCTTCACTTCCATCATCAACAGAACTATGAATTGGCAGCAACAGTAGAACGATCAACGAAGCGAAAAAATAGAACGAGAAAATTTACAACAGAAAACAGTAACACAACGGAACACACAGATTTACATGGTTCGACAAATTGCCTACGTCCACGGAGTTGCAGAGGATATTACTACTTGAGGAATTTACATCAGTCAATCGTCTCGATTTATAAGAGGAATCTCTCATTTCGTTGCTCTCTTCTTCTCTCTCTCTACACTGAACTATTATTCTTTCTCTACACCGAGATACACTGAAAAAGATAAACTTACAAGAGAAATAAACCCAATTTCTCTTTTGCCACAAATTACCAAGAAAAAGCCAAGGGAGAATAATTTTATTCTTCTTCTTTCTTCTTTCTTCTTTCCTCTGCAGCAAAGAACTATTGCTTACACTTTCCTTCCTCTAGCCCGAGGAAGCCCGAAGAAGAACACCAAAAAACGTGATTTCTCTAACTGAATAAGAACCTGCTCTCTTCTTTTCCTTCCTCTTCTGTTCGCAAATTCAAAGAGGTGAAGGGCGGCGTCGTTTCGCGAATCGTAGGCGGGAGCAGTTCTTGTAATCATAAGGTTGCAGCCGCGACCTTGAAGCGGGATCGCGATCTCTCGCGATCGGGAGAGCGAGAGCGGGAGGGCGGCCAAACTGGGCTCCCTGGGCTCCACACTACCACTAAGTTTGATATTAAATTCTCGCCACCAGATTTTTAAGATCAAATTGAATATATATGTATTAATGTATATATATTCATATAAGACAAATTTATGCAATCT